GAAAAAGAATGTCCATAGTTAGTTAGACAAAAGCATAACTCCAACAGGAAAGAAATCTACATGGCAAACTAAGATGATGATTCTCAAAAAGACAGCCTTCATTTCTTTCAATAACTACTTATTCATCTCTACCTCTACAGTTGATCACTATTCCAATATCACCTTAGGAAAAATAATACCACCTACAAAATTGACTTCCAGGGGACTTCTTACACTTAACTGACTTAACAGTACCAATCCAATTTCATTCAGAGGTCAACATAGCTATGTGTACCTGGTTGCCCGCCAAAAACATAACCCTTGCCCTTGTACATGATCTCCTCGCATTAAAGCAGACTTCTGAAGAAATAAAAACTAGGAAATTTTCACTTATCAGCCAAATTTAACGCATTAAAAAAACTTACTTGTCAAATATTAAAAGCGTTCTTCAATTCAAAGTCCTTTCTGGAAAATCTGCATTTTGTGAATATTTTATTTCTTCACCACTGAAAACAAGCAAAATTAAAGGGCATATAATCCTTTAAGAGCGAATACTAAAATGAAACTGAAATCATCAGTTAGACACATGTGACATTTTATAATCTAGTGATAAGAGTATGTATCATTATGAATACAGTACACCTCTATACAACTACCTAATTGAGAGGAAAAAAAAAAACATTGTTCCTTTGTACCCTGACTAGATTCCAAGCTTTCATTGTATTTGACAAACAAATATTAAGAAAATATGAAAAGCTTAATAACATCAAGGTGAGAATCTTAAATCTGAAATATCACTTAAGGAATTTACAAAGTATTATTAACTTAGCCCTACCTACTTTTTCTCAATCTATATACCTTCTCAAACACTATGCCCTTAGAACATATACATGCCCTTAGATTATGTTGGTCTCTATTACTGTGCTAGCTTTCTGTTACCTATAACAAATACTGAGATAAACAAAAAAAGAAAAAGGTTATTTTGGCTCACAGTTTTGGAGCTTCTGGTCTATGATCTTGTGGATTCATTGCTATGCTGGGAGTTGGGAGTCAACTCTTTATGGCAGGAGTTGTGTGGCAGAGCAAAGGTGTTCATCATACCACCAGGAATAAAACACAAGAAGAGACCAGGGTCCCACAATCCCCTTCAAGGGCATGCCCTCAATGAACTGAAGACCTCCCTGTGGGCCCCACCTCTTAAAGGTTTACCACTTCCCATAGTACTACAGGCTGAGAATAAAGTCTCTAATGCATGATCCAAGGGATCCAAATTTAAGTAATTCCCAAAATAAGAACTACATTTCTTCTAAGTTTTTTGCTCAAAGATATTTACTATCTAGAATAACCACCATCTATATCTTGAAATTCTTCCATTCCTTTAAAAACCAGCTCTGGCCAGGCTTGGTGCACACTTGTAATTCCAGGTGCTCCAGAGGCTGAGGCAGGAGGATTGCTTCAAAGCCAGCCCTAGCAATTTAGCAAGAATCTAAGCAATTCAGTAAGATCCTATTTGAAATATTTTTTAAAAGGGGGAAGAGCTGAGAATATGTCTCAATGATTAAGTGCCCTTGGGTTCAATCCCTACTACAAAACAACAAAAGCAAATTCTCTAAACCCACCACCTTTAAGTTCCAAATCTTCCCAAACAATGAGTCTCCCCTTCTTCCTTGCAATCCCAACACCTTAACTATACTTCTAGGATTTATCAACATATGCTTTAAAATAATATCATGTATGTCTCCTTCATGGTTACAATCCTCTAGAAAGCAAAAATTATATAATTTTTAACATCTCCTCACTATGTTTACAACAGTACCTTGGCATGTTGTATACAGGTAACAAATGACTTAATATAACTAAACAGACTGTAACACCTTTGGTCTTATTTTTTGAAGAGAAACTTACACTCCATAATTCACACTGTTAAATGTATCCACAAAGACTCACTTCTGTATTTTTAGTGTGGATCTCTTTTCACAGCTCAATTCATATATCAAACTGTCTATGAATTCTTTACCTGGATATCCCACAATCACCTCAACTTCATCTTATCTAAACCATGTTCACTATCTATTCTGCTTTTGCTCTTCTACTGTCTATTGTATGACCCTATACATGTCACTTTACATTTATATCATTTATTAGGCCTATTTCTTCATCTGCCAAATGAGAAACTTGGAAATGGATTAATGAAATCAAAATGGAAAGCACAAGAGATAATCTAGTCTTCAAAAACGGGAAAGGTGAGGGAGTTGTCCAGAGTCCCAGGAAGAGCACTGTGATCCAAACACCACTATAATTCTCTTCTCCAAATTTACCAGCACAGTTCTTAAAAAGGAAGCATGGAGGTAGCTTCCCATCTGAATGACCATTAATTAATGGCTATCAATAGGTAAACATGGGTAGAATGAAAATGACTAAGTGAAGATTTTGATAGTTACTGCAAGGTTTTTTGTTTTGTTTTGTTTTGGCATTCAGGGAACCTAGGGAAGCTTAACTAATGAACCACATCCCCAGACCTTTTTATTTTTTATATTGAGACAAAGTCTAAGTAACTTAGGGCCTAGCTAATCTATCTCACAATGATTTATACGACAATTTAAGTAACACCTTTGAAATACTTCCGTTAATAGTCATCACTGAGACACAAGACAACTTCTCACACATAACACAGGTGTCTTTCAAGCAATGTGAGATATTAAGTTACTGCTTTGTAAAATAATTATAAGCAAAAAAAGCAGATTGTCTTTCTACAGGAAAAAGACTTTTTTAAAGAAAATCTCTTCTTAAAAAAATGCTGAAGATACCTATCCTAAATGTTAACTAAGCATTCAATGCGTCAGTTATTCATTTAATTCTTTTTAAAAAGTAGATGGATATTTTCTGCATCTCTTTGGAGGTAGTGGTTATATACAATTATCTTAATTTGATGGAACTGATAATAGGATTTGTGCATTTTCTTTTAGTTCATTTATAACTCAATTTTTTATATGGGAAACAGTAGCTAATACTAAGGCAGTTAATACTCGACCAACTACAAAACGACTCGTTACAGAGCAGAGGAGTTGATTCCATTTTAGCAA